ATTGTTTCCTGTTTTTTTATTTTTTTTTATTTTTATTAATTGGTTTGTGAATTGCTTGTTTTGGTTTTGTTTGCATGTTTACAAGTGTACTGAGTATGTGCAATGGCTGTTGTCCAATTGGTTCTATATATTTTTTTATTTACATTCTTTTTCTGCGGCTTCAACGTGTGATGGTAGTTGATAGATTGTATTTGCGGTGATTTCCAGGTTGTGGAGTCTTTGGTTTCGTGATGCGGCCTTTATGTTGGATTTTCGTTGTGTGTGATTTGTTGCGCCTGTACTGAGTGTTGTGTGATCTTCAATTGTTGTGTTTTATTTTTTTCTTTCCCTGTCAATTATTTTTCAGCTATGCGTCTGTGAGCGCTTTAGAGTTCTGATAGTCTATATATATATTTGGGACCTGTATATGTATATTTTTGTAGTGTGGTCTTCAGGATCATGTGGGACTCAGGGTAATTTGCATGTAGTTTACTTATAATTTATTTATTTTTCATAACAACGCTCATATATTTTTGTATTTTCCAATCGTATTATCATTCATGGTTCAAGTCTTAATTGAATCAACTTATTAAGTAACTAACTGTAATTAGCGGAGTGGCTGACTTGAAGACTGTATAGTCAATTCGCTCTCCCTCGCTGTATTTATTTTAAAAAACTTGTTGTGATAAATGTAAAAATGTAATATACTTGAAAGCGTAAATAAATTTCAAAATCTAAAAAAAAAAATCTAAAATCTAAATCTTCTTAGATCAGGCGCTAGAGGGCGTTAGTGTAAAACCGCGCCGCCATATCAGCTTCTAAAGTGCCGTTCAAACACTTCACGGTAAATTTTGAAGGCCATGTCATACTCATACTCATACTATCATAGTCAGTCTTAGCGCCATGTAAATGCGAAATTAACAATCAGACGGAGGCATTTTTCTTATAAATATAAGTTGACCGCGAACCAATCTGGGCCGTGCGGAAATCTTAGATTCGATTGTCACAGACGCCGCCTTTTTTCTGTATGAAATAGACTATAATTATAAGGATTCTGGACTTACTTGGCGATCACATGCGATTCTTGGTCAACATGAATGGACCGTGGCCGAACCTGAGAGGTAAGTTATCTCCTTAGGCCTACTGATATTCATTATTCATTGGTGATAAAATATTGAGTAAAATGATTTCAAATCAAACGCTGGAGTTTTTGGAGATTTGTAATATGGAGTTTTTGGAGATTTGTAATATGTGTATATAATCTATGCTGTAACCAGAGAGACCGGATACTATTACTAGAGAGTTGATGCGCAAAGGAGGCGTTGATCCTGACCGCTGAGCTGGGATGTTGCGCGCAGTTTCGCGGCAAGGCTGGAAATATTTGGGGGGAACCTTCGTCGGGGAAATTTGGGGGGATTTTTTTGGGGGGGACACCTGGGGCATAT